GGCGGGCGGGGCCGGCAGGGGAGGGGCGGGGCGGAGCTCCCCCCAGCCGCTCTCCGCCAATCCGCGCCGCCCTGCCGCGGTGACGTCAGCCGCAGCGCCCGCTTCCCGCCCGGCGGCCGTGAGGAGAGGGATCGGTGCCGGCGGGGACGGGACGTGAGGGGATGGGATGGGATGTGGGTCCCGGCGCACAGCTCCCCCCGCCCGTTCAGCTCCTCACGGCAACGGGCGCCGTGTTGGGTTGTGCCGAGACCCGTCTGAGATAATGGATGGGCCCGGTATGGGGTAACTCCCCCTCCGTGCGGCCGAGGCCCGGGCCCGGTGTGAGGGGGCCCTGGCTGGGCCCGGCGCCCCGGGAGGGCCTGCTGAGGTGCGGCTGCGAGTCACGCCTCTCTCAGGAGCAAATCACTCCCTTTCCTGGAGACTGTGTATGTAACGATGGAAAACTTTGCAATAAACAACTGGGTGTTTTGCGGGAGAATCTGATTTGGGTGGTTTTTTCCTTGGTGAGGGGCAGAATCTCTCTATTGCTGATGTGAGCGTTTCCCATGGGCTCTGGTGAGTGCCTGCTGCTGGCCCCGGGTGCAAGTCCTGCACCCATCCTGGGGATCCTTCTGTACCCATTATGGTCTATGAGCTTTTTACTTGGGAGAAAGACTTGTTTTTTCCTTGAAGAAAGCCCCATTTCTCTGCTCCTGGGCCGTGCAGTGCAGGAGAGCACCCCCGGACTGGGGCAGACTGGCTCCAGCTGGGCTTTGCTGGGCCCCCTTGCTGCTGGGGCCCGGGGGAAGGAGTGTGACCTCCTGTGCTGCCACTGCAGGCTGGCTCTGTCCCGTGGGACACGGCTGGGTTTGGTGTAAAGCACACCTTTTCTGGGCAAGCACACCTCAGGGAAGGCTGCCTTGCTGCCTGGCAAGGTAGAAATCCTCTGTTCCCCGTGCCAGCTGCTGGTTGTGCAGGGAAAAACATTTCACGAGGTTTCAGGTGGTTCCTGGTGGCCCAGCAGAGCTTTGGAGGACGTTTGGGTTGTCTCACCCGTGACGGAAGATGATGCTGGGGAAAAGGTGTTTCAGAGCTGCAGAGAGATGAGCTGCAGGTGTGTCTGTGGGAAGCCTTGCAGAGACCAGACACGGTTCCTCGACATCTTCTTGGCATTAGGCTGAGGGGGTCGCTGCATCCAGGACTCCACAGGGCTTCCTACAGACTGGAGGAGCTCCGGGCTTCGTCTTTGATGTTACAAGAAATGCAGTTAGAAATAAGCAAAACTGTCGCCTATTTCTTATTTATTTTTTGGTCAGAGTTAGGCTGATGGTTGGACTAGATGATCTTTAAGGTCCCTTCCAACCTAGATGATTCTATGACTCTATTTTGTGAAGACTACTGTGATATCCCATCTTTTTAGACAAACGCATTCATTTGTGGTGTCTGTCTTTAGATGGGGGAAGCAGCTATTAGTTTTAGAGTGCGGAAATTTCATTTAGAAATGTTTAGTTTCAATTGCCTACTTTAATTTAAAATTATGATTTCGTTCTTTAGTTGATGGATAAAATAAAATCCCCAAAGCTCTTAATTTAAGATGCAATATGAGAGGGGTGTTCTCCCTGGAATGAAATGAACCCATTTTAGTCCCGTGTAAGATGATCAGTTCCTTCCTGTGTTACTTGGCTGCTGTTGCTGTAAAATTTGCTGTTATTTGACGCTCAGAAAACCCCAAATCCTGCCGAACCAGGCCCGCAGTGGGAGGGCCACCCCGGGCTGGGGGCTGATGCGCTGGTGCCCCGAGGGTCCGGCCTTCCTCAGGAGGAGGCACAGCACCTGCCGGAGCTTCCAGGGAGGGGAAATTCAGCTACTTGGTGCTCTTCTCTTAGACTGAGCCATCACTGTGCGTCTGGCAAAGCTCCCCCTTCTCGCTGGGGTGACTCCATGCCAGAAAGTGTCATACAGGAATTCCCTCCTGGAGAGGAGCCGGCGGTGCCGTTCCCTTTCCCGCTCGGAGCACGCACCAATCCTGGATCCCAGGCCGCGGCGTTCCGGGCCCTGGGCTTGTTCTGCTCAGGGGGACCCCTCAGACGGCAGGGGAGCGGGGCGGGGTTGGGTTTTGGGGCAGGTTGATGCGGATTTGGTGCTCGTTCTGAGCAAATGCAGAGAAAAATCTCTGCCCGCTGACCCCTATTCCCGGCCCCGCCCCCCGCCCGC